GTGATTCCTGCACCATCAGCATTGACGCTGGGTGGTTGGGTTGGCGGAGGTATGCCCCTGCCATCCACCTCGGAGGAGGAGGAGGAGGGTCTGTTTCTTCGCCAAGAGGAGTGTCTTGCTGTTTGGCACTGAGACCAGGATTCATGAAAGCCGCTTCAACCAACATCCGCTGCACTCAGCAACCAGCCCGTCATGGATGTGAGCTGACGCGTTCCCTAGTCCTTTGGTTAGGTTTGTGGAAACTAAGAAGGCTGCTCTGTACAAGTTCCCAACAACTTGACTTCCAGTGTCTTCTCAGAAAGTCCTCAGCTAAAATCCAGGCAGTCTTCCTTCTTGATAAATCACACGCACACACACACACACACAGATTCCTGTGGCCCAGAAAAGCCAGGGATATACAGCCCCTACCCTCCTCCACCGAACACACCTCTTTCCTCGGCTCTGGGCCCCGATGCAGCTTGACAGCCGGAGCCACGTAGGTAGAGGGTGATGGTGGCAGTGGTGATTGCATGGTGGTGGCGGAGGCCATGGTGATTCCTGCTGTGGCTTTATAGACGGGAAAGAGTTGAAGAGGGGAAGTGACGTGTCCAATGTAGTTGGCCTCCCCGGGATGAAGCCCAGCTCCAGCCTTCCTGACACCCGCAGGATGGAACGTTACTTACAAAGCCACCCAGCTCATGGTCCGTACACTGTAGCAGGCACTGGGCCAAGTGCCTTCAACAGTCGTCCTAGTCAATGGTCCTAACAGTGTCAAGAAGGGGAGTATTACTAGTCCCATTTTCTAGGTGAGGAAACCGATGCTCACAAAGATGAAAAGCTGACCAACCTCTGCCATGAACAGTGGCCGAGCCCATAGTCAAACCCGACGGGACCCCAGGTTGCACCTGGCCCTGTGTGTACTGTGCAATGTATTGTCTGAGTGTTGCTCTCTAGCCAAGCTGTGAAGGCTCCGGGAGGTCAGGGTCTATCGTTACAGCCTGCCCAAGGTCCTCCGTGATTATTGAATACATGACTTCATGAATGGTCAAAGTGATTTTTAAAAAGAGAGAGAATCCATTGGGAACAGAAAGGAAGGAGGAGCTACCACTGAGGGCCACTGAGGAACACTCCAGCACATTGTGAGACAGTCTAAATAATCTCTCTTCTCTCAGAACCCTCACGCCCCTATACACACACACACACACACACACACACACACACACACGACTGGGGTAACATCAAACTCCCGGAGCCCCTCCTCTGTCAGCGTCCGGACCCAGCTCATGCTGATTTCATGTGCAGTGCCAGCCCTTGTTCAGAACCGGTCCTGGACAA